GCTTTGGTTCTTTAGCATTTTCTGAAGTAAGTTAGTCGCTGGCTAAAAAAAGCAAAATCACATTTTGAATCTAGTAAAGGATTGCTAGGTTAATCTTCTAGATATGAATGACATGGCTTACACAAGATCCGCTATATGCCAATTAATTTAATAGAGATAAAAGTGTAGAAATTGCACTATATAGCAAATAGGCTTATGCATTACGCATTTGTCACCAGACCAATGTTTTTCAAATGAAGCAAGTACCCTTGTTTGTTGATCATATTGGATCACTTACCCAAAAAAAAATATATTTGTAGAAAAACAGAAATCGTTCCTATATTTCCCAACCACTTATAAGTTTTAACAACAGAGAAGATTTCTGGGGATAAGGGGTGACACGGAACTTAATATTAAAATGTCAAACCTAGATTTATGAAATGCCATTGCTTTAACAAATAGAATTTTTTTGAAATATATTTATGTTAAGAGAGTAACAGCTTCACACAATGCAGCTAACTTAGCTTAGTCCAAATTCCCATCTTTTTCTCACAATCCAAACCATAAACTCCATTAACCACAATTCAAATTCAAAAATCAATTTCAAATTGCAATCTGAAAAAAAAAAAAAAAAAATCAAAACTCCTAATCATTATTATATATATGTGTATGCAGAGAGACAGAGACATAGAGAAGACCATGAAAAGTGGCACATCTTCATGTTAAGTTAGATGATTTAAGTTCTATGAAAAAAAAAAAAAAAAAAAAAAAAAGATTTCATAACTTACATATGCTTTGCGAGCATCATTATTAATCCATCTAGTCCCTTCCTTGAAATGTACATTCTTGTACATTTTGATGGCAGGTCCTACGATACGATCCTCATTCTCTTCATCACTATCTTCATCATTTAAAGTAGCTTCCTTTTGTTTCTTCATTAATTATTTTTATATATTATAAGGTATGGTTGTTGAATGAAAAGAAAATAAAGAAATCTAACTATAGTGTTAGATATTACATACCTCCTCATAATGCATTTTGGTAAAGGACTTTGACCCAGCATAATGTATCACATCATTCTTTGACCTGTTTTCTTTGTTCTAGGCACTAATTTCCTACAAAGTAATTGAAAAATGACACAACAAATGAAAGAAAGAATGAAACGTTGAAATCTTTGGAAAACGATATAAATAGAAAAAATGTACTAAACTTAACTTGAATTTTTTTTGACATCCACCTATTACACAAGATCTGCCAGTCCTCGTAAGATACTTCAGGATATGTGTTGCGGCGTGCACTTTCTTCTGTTTCGAATTGGTTAAAATGTTCTTTCAAATGGTACCTATACTTCCTATGAGCAACGGCTAATGAGTTATCTGCACATTCCTTAGCTTTTGAATCGTTTTCACAATCAACTCTGAATTCTTCATATAGTTTTTCACATGAATAAGCCATAAATAAATATCATTTTAAAGAAGTATAAGTAGTAAGTTTCATAAAAATAATAGAATCCTGATTTTGGAAAATTAAAAAGGAAAAATTACAAATTATTTTTCATATCATCTAAATATACAAAGAAATCCCACACAAAGATATGCATTAATTAAGACAAACCTTTATTTTACAATATAAGAACTGTTTATGAGATTTCGGAATCTTCAACCAATTGTTATAGCATAGTGGAATGTAATCACGAGCAATGATCCCAATTAACGTGGTGATTACCCAAAACAAACCAAAGGATTTTTTGGTTATAGAGGTTGAACCGATGTTACTAGGAAAGTTTCTTAGTTTCAATGTCTATGTTAGTGATAGAGAGACTGTTTTTTATGTGTTGATTTTACATTTATGTTTCGATTGAGGGAGAAACAGTGTGAGGTATTTCAAAGAGCCGCAGTAGCCGCAGTACCACGTGTGTCTACACTATCCATATATGTTTATATACATAAGCATATTAGTTTGAAAAAGCTAAAACACCCCCTACTATACCTTCAAATGTTCTGGTTTTTCATATACGTTTCGGAAGCAACAAATGTTCTGGTTTTTTAAATTTCCTTCACATGCTTTATTCTCATTTGGATGTACTTATAAAGACACACAAATCCTTCAAAGGTTTTACACATAAAATAGAAGAAAAATACACAAACAGAGGCATATAAATAAAAATACACCCCACAAATCCTTCAATTTATTGGAAAAATTACCTTCAAAAAGTTGGGAACAGGCCGATTACCTTCAATCAAAAGCGTTAAGGAAAGAAACAGAGGGGTTTTGCAATTTCTCTAAATGAAATTTTTCTCTCTTTTTTTTTTTTTTGTTATTTGAGTGTCGATCTATTAGGAAAAAACTATAGAATACAAAAAATATATAAATATATATTGAGTGAAAGAGCTAGAGTTAAAAAAAAATACCTATTTGTAATGCCTGATCGCTGAGTTCCGAATCAGCATATCCTCGTCGGACCTAGTTGTAGTTCAGAATGAGATCGAGGAGAGAAGCAAATCGCTGTAACTTTTGACGTTTGGGTTTCAGAGAGGAGAGAGGCAGATCATGTGGGGTTCCATTGTTCCAAGAGAAAAGAGATCAGTAATGAATGAGGGCAAAGAGGGGTAAGGATCTAGAGGGTTGTTTTAATGTACAAAACGACGTAGTAGGTTTTACTTTTCCGTAATTTGGGGACACAAGAGGAATTTTCTTATATTGTCAAATTGATGTAGAGAGTGACACGTGGAAATAAGATTATGGGGACAGACAAAAGTCCATCCCTAAAAGAATTTGGGACAGTCCTACCAAAATTTCCTTGAATTCTTCCCTCCAAAAAAATTCCCCCGTGTATTTTTTTGGGTTAATTGGGACAGAGGCATTTTGCTGTCCCAAATAACACTAGCTTTTGGGACGGATTCTAAACTGTCTCAATTAACCTTAGCTTTTGAGACAGGTTTTAAACTGTCCTTAATAGTTCGTCCCTACTATCCCCATTTCTTGTAGTGACACTTCCACATGTACCCAAAATTCGCTTGCGGAATCGGCCGTGGGGTTCTTCTTGTGCTTCTTCACCGCTGGTTTAAGATTATATATTTATAAAAATAATATATACACACACATATATAAAAGAAAAAAAAAATGATTAATTCTCGTAGGAGGAAGATGATGATCTTATATCATTCTCTGCACGAGGAAGACAATCTTCAGTTTGTTCCAGTCCCAACTCCAAGTGGCTTTCTTCATTTAGGAACACCGTTAATGACATTAACAGTAAGGAGATACATTTCAGAGGCTATTTCGTCGGACACATCATTGCTAACTCCATTCATTTATTTCATTATTTTTTTTATTATTTTTTGTTTCCATAATTATTTTTTTTTCTTTTATATATATATGTGTATATATTATTTTTATAAATATATCATCTTAAACCAGCGGTAAGAACTAAGAAGCACAAGAAGAATCGGTTGCGGATTCCCGCAAGCGAAATTTGGTTACGAATGGAAGTTGTTAAAAAGGAAAGAGAAAAATTTGGTCTGTATCAAAGATTTAGAGAGAGAGAGATTGAGGGAGATGTGACAAATGACTTGTCTTAATATTGGTCCTCAGATTAATTTAATTTTGTAGAGAGCATGAGAGAGATGTCATGAGAGAATATCCATCTATTAAAGCTATCATTTTGTCTTTTTTTTAGTTTAATTATATATATTACCAAGTTTCGTACTTAAAAAATAATAATAATAATAAAAGATGATAATGAAAAAATAAAAAATAGACTACTAAAACTGTGACAGTGATAGTAATATAAATTTAGGATATCAAAAAATAAAAAATAGACTACTAAAACTATGACAATGATAGTAATATAAATTGCCTTTCTTTTGGGGCAATCATGTGCGAGTACGCAAAAAACCCTCCTGTATTATTGAACATTTGTGGTTCTCAGGCGGAAACTATTGAACATTTGCTTTTTCAGTGTTCCCATTCAGTTCAGGTTTGAAGCTTTCTCCTCTGCGATTTGATTTTGCTATGGATCCTCCGTCTTCCTTTAAGGTTTGGTGGTTGAGTTTGGCTCGTAGCTGGGGATCCTAGGAAGGGGGGGGCTGATGTGTTGGGGATGGCTGCTACTTGTTGCTGGTTTATTTGGAAAACCCGTAATAAATTATTTTTTTCTGTGGAATATTGGGATGCTTATCGGGTGGTTGGATTAGCCGAGTCTTTTTTTGGGAGTTTAAAGAGGCTTCCCTTTTCTCTCGGTCGATTTTGGCACTGGGTCGGCTTGCTGAGGCCTCGTCTTCGTCGCATTCTGTTTCTTTGCCTTGTTGGGTGCCTCCATCTCCAGGGGTGGTTAAATGTAATGTCGATGCTTCTTTCTCACTTTCTTCTCAAGTGGGGGGAGGTGGAGGTGTTTTTCGTGATTCATCAGGAAATATTTTGGAGGCTGTGATTTTTGACCTGTTTTAGGCTTCTAATGCGACTTTGGCTGAGGCCGTCTGCCTTCGTAAAGTTGTCCTTTGGGCGCGCTCTTTAAATTTTTCTCAGGTTTGGTTTGAATCTGACTCGTTGGTGGTCGTTAATGCTGTTTTGAATGTTGAATCTGGGCCAATGGATTCAAGCTGTTGCTTTTGATGTGAAAGCAGCGCTACGGCGTTTCTCTTCATCTTCTCTTAGCCATGTTCAGAGGCATGGCATGCTCTTGCAAAGCTGTCGAGAAGTCATCTATTGTAGGATATTGCCCTTCTCCATATCCCTCTTCATATTAGTTTTTTAGTAGCTAAAGATTGTTCTTGTTGATGTTGTGCTGTTTCTGTTGGCTTGTTTGTTAGGTTAAAAACACAAAAAACAAAAAAAAAAAAAAAATGTGCGAGTACGCGAGTAGGGTTGACTTTTCGTTAGATAGTGACAGAGAACCTAAAATGGACTGATTAAACTAGCACAAAGTTAGTAAAAAAACAAACCAAAATAAACGAGCACAAAGTTGACTTGAATCAGCGGTTTTACATTTTTTTTGTTTTTTGTTTGTTTTTTGTCACGAAATTCACGTACTAAATACAAATACCAATCAATCCCTCACAGAAAGTGAAGAGCATTGAGTCCCTTCAAATCCTTCACTCAATCACAAGCTTTTTGGTTCGCAATGGCTTCCACGAGCACACACACAGTGTCTTCCTCTTCTACTTCTACCCCTAAATGGAATTATGAAGTGTTCTTGAGCTTCAAAGTTGAAGACACTCGCAAGAACTTTGTAGACCACCTGTTCACTGCTTTGTCTCAGAGAGGGATCTATACCTTCAAAGACGACAAACAACCCAAAAGAGGGAAAGATATTTCACCATTACTACTGAAAGCAATCGAAGAATCGAGGTTCGCTCTCATCGTCTTCTCCAAAAACTATGCTTCCTCCAAGTGGTGTTTGGATGAAGTCGTGAAAATCATGGAATGCAAGAAGACGATGGGGCAGACGGTGGTGCCAGTGTTCTATGATGTGGATCCTTCGGAAGTGCGGAAACAAACAGGGAGCTTTGCATCAGCCTTTGAGATTCATGAGAAAGCTTTCAGTGGGAACATGGAGAAAGTACAGAGGTGGAAGACTGCTCTGGTTGAAGCAGCAAATCTTTGCGGATATAGCGTTCCGGATACAGCGAACGGGTAATTACCGCAAATTTGGTGCATTCTAATAATATCGTGTTCTGAATAATTGAAAAAAAATTGAATATATATATTTTTTATATTTAAGTGGGTATATATATTTTTTTATATTTAAGTGGTTATATATATTTGGATTACCTGGATCACAAGCAACACGATGATGTCTTTGACAAGGAAAAAGAATTTTCTGGCAAATAACCACGTCACCCATAACCTAGGAATTTTTTTTGCAAATAACCACATCTGCCAGAAATTTTTTTTGTTTGTCAAAGATATCGTCAAAAGAGAATAAGAATTTTCTGGCAAATAAGCACGTCACCCATAATCTAGAGAGAGAATAAACTGAGTAGATCTGTCAATGAATGTTTGAATTGCATCCGAGTATTTGGATATGGAGTTGAGAAAAAAAATTTAATAATTTAATAATAATTCGAATCCGATAATTTGTTTTCTTAACAAATTGAATATGAATTATAGATAATTTAATACAATAATAATTGGAGTTTGGATCTCATCAAAATTATATATATATATAGATATATATATATATATATATATATATATATATATCTATATTAATTATTTATTATTGCATTAAAGTTAGGGCTAAAATCATAAAACATGAGCTACTTTTATTTTTGGGAGGTGATATTCGTACTCTATTTTTGTACAATTTCACTTCATTTTATTTTATTTTATTTTTTTTAAGAAAATGACAAGAAGGTTCATAAACTCATCAATACATCCTCTCTCACTTTATAATACAACATCTATCCCTTTTAACTATAAATTTTTTTTTTTCTTTTCTTATTCTTTTTTCCTTTTTTCACAAAATTCATTATCTTTTAATTTTATTGTCAGAATAACTAGGAATTCCTTTATCAACAAGTATAACATAAAACTAAATATTCAAATAAATTCTAAATTAATTTTTAAAAATCACATCAAGGGGAAAAAATTAAACTAAACTCAAAGCATAAAATAGAAAGTTAATTTTTTTTTTTTTAAAAAAAAAAATACCATTCCCATCACCATCCAAATTAATTCTTAAAAATCACATTAGGAAAAAAAAAATCTATACGTAAACTCAAAGCATAAAACATAAAACAAAAATAAAACAAAAAACAAATTACCATTCCCATCAAAGGAGTTTAATGGTTCATGAAATTTTAATAGTTATTCAATATTTTTTTATGCTACAAGACTAATTACATTATCTAACTCTTTTATTTTTTCATTTGTGAAATATTTTATTATTACTTATAAAGATCAATATCAAACCCTAATGAGAAAGATAACAGAAAGTTAATACAAAATATAGAAAGAGTTTAGCAAAGGTAGGATACAAGAGAAAAAGAGAGATTAACAAAAAAAACACAAAAAAAACGTAAAATACCAAAAACGTTAATGGGAAAGAGTGGGGAGACAAAAAAATCTTACCATAATTGAAAAGGGTAATTGTGATATATGAGAAAAATAATTATTAATTTTTAAAGTTAAGATTAGAGTTGTCATTTCCTTTAAGATTGGAGTGCAATAGTATAAAAGTGGAGTGCCTCCCTTATTATTATTATTTTTTTATCATAAAACTCTATTGCCCCCAATTATGTCAATAAATTGTTAAGAACTTGTTAAATGACTAAGTTACCTTTTTGATATATCACTTTATTTAAAAAAATAAAAATTAATATTTTCAAATTATAAAATTATCCTCAGGCACAAAGTTATCTCTTTTCTTTTACCGAAAACGTGAAGACCATTTTTGTTATGGTCTCCGTCTTTCTTACTAAAACTAATTTAGTTTCTTACAAAATAATAATAATAATCTTTTAATAATTGGTAAAGAAAGCAACGGCCAGCAAAGAAAGGGAAAAAACCAATCCTCTCTTGGATTGGTCTAGTGAGGAGTAAAAAAACTGACTTGGAAACAAAGTTAAATTCATATTTAACAATCCCAAAGAAAGGACGAAAATTCAAAAAAGAAAAAAAATCCAGATGCATAATAGAAAAAGAACTACAGGAAAACATGCAGATTAGAAGAAGAACAATTAAAAAAAGAATTCTTATTTCAATCAAAAGTAAATTTGTGAATCTCTCTCTTTGATACTGACAATCCTTCAACTTTTGATAAGATTTGGAGCTGAAGAAGAACAAATGATATACCAGTTAGAGGGAAGAACAAAATAATAAAGAAGACATTAGAACAAAATAATAAAGAAGACTTACCAATTCTTTCCTGATGCAAAAAAGAAGAAGTAAAAATGTTATTTTAATATTATTCAAATGTTAAAGTTGAATGGTATAATAATATACGATGTATAATATATTGTATAGATTATATGGGAAAACAAAATGTAGTTGAGTAAATTTATACCAAATGTAGTTGAGTAAATTTATTTCTTCATTTGCTGACTTTTGTTCGACGACAAGAATATGTTGGAGAGGTGGGGTTAGATGCTCACTTCGTCAAGTGAGAGGGCAACTAGAGAAGATTTTTTCCCGAAAGAAAGACGGAAGTTCCTTTATTTAATTTTCCTATTAACTTTGATCAACACATTGGAAAGTGTTCAATTGATAAAGAAATCAATAATTTTTTTTAGGGAATTAAATGGCTAAGTAGAGCTTGGGTATAGATTGGTCCTCCTTTATTAATTACAAAAAAAAAAAAAAAAAAAAAAAAAAAAAAAAAAAAAAAGAAAAAAAGAAAAAGAAAAATCACATAACGGGTTTAAATCTCAAAACAATTATATTTTTTCAAATCTCAAAGAAATTTCTTGAAATACTTAAATAAATTTAGTTTGAGTAAGAGATTTCAATTAGGGCTATGAATTACATTCAATTAGGACAGCAAATTACTTTCAATTAGGGCTTCAAAATCACTTCAATTGATTCCTAAAATGGAGGACAGAACGACCAAAACCTTTGACCCATGGAGGAGAAACAAGCTAATAGAGAATGGCGACTTCTATTATTTAATATGTTTTGGGGCATTTTTGGAATAATAAAAAGTGTAACAGTATATGGTTGACACATGTTTTTTCAGGGATAATTTTGTTACTAAAAATATTTTGTCAATGCAAGTGAGTGCTATTTTAACGTCCCAAACTAACAAAATTGGGGGGTTTTATAATTTTAACCCTTATATATATATATATATATATATATATATATATATATATATTAATTTTCTATTATTACATTTGCATATAGTAATTATTTATCATATATTATATTTATTTGGTTGTACATCATTCTATATATTAACAAATTTTCATTCCATCTAACCTTAAAAATTATATATGTTAGTGGATATATTTATAATTCGAATCCGATGTGATCCGAATTCAAACTAAATAGGATATGGATTGATATATTCAATCCGGTAACCCTTTAGCGATTCGAATCCGATAATTCATTAGCTTAACAAATCAGATATGAATTTAGTTGATCCAAACAAACCCAAAATAAAAGGGATGGTTGCCACGGAGAGAGAAGGATAGAGAGCGGGTGGTGGTTAGTGACAACCGTGGTGGTGGGTGGGGAGTGGCGGTGGTGGCACAATGGCAGTCCACAAGGTGAAGAGTGGTACCCCCAAAATTCATATATATATATATATATATATATATATATATATATATATATATATATTCAATTGGGCCCCCAAAATTTTGTGAAATTTTTTGTTATACCCTCAGAAGATGTTTTACAAATAAGCCCAACTTTTTGTCTCAAAATTCCTAAAAAAATCAGTTGGCCACCCTAAATTTTTTCAAACTTTTATTTATTGCCTAAAAAATAATGAGCGTCAAAATAAATATAACTTGTACTTTGTATAGCTCAGAAAATTTTACTTGAGCCCTTTTATCCATTATTTTTGAAGTCCTGAAACAAAAATTTATCTTTTTTATTATGGTAGGTCACGCTACAACATATCGTTAATTCAAGTAAAAAAAATATATATTTACACTAATGTGTGTCTTCATGTTTAATAAAGATATATTTTTGTTAGATGGTATTGAGAGGAAAAAAATTGTCTTAAATTATATATTAATCTCTATCTGCGAGTCTTTAAAGCTCTCGGAAGAAGAGAAAACAAAAGTATTATGATACAAAAACGACAAAAATGTCAAAATATAGTTTTCATTTATTAAATGAAATATTCTTTAGCAACTCCTTGTATGAGAACTTTTTTAGCAACTAAAAACTCCTTGTATGAGTTAATAAACTTCTCTATTTTGTTTCTAATGGCCGTATTTCATTAGAACGTGCAGGGTTTTTTTAGTTAAACTGTACCTTTTATCATTAATTTTTTATCAAGCTAATAATTATATATATCTTTCTCACAGTGGAATCAAAGTATTCATAAAAATAAATAAATGAATTTCTAGAAAATTAAAACAATTAATTGTTGGTTGAAATTTAATTTCTTAACAATGGTTTTGCATTACCACTTCTCTTATTACATGCAACTTATTGTCAATTTTTTATTTCTATTTATTTTGAATCTATTTTTCTAATTTTTTGAATTATATTTTCCTAGATATGCCAAGATGACAAAAAAGTCAAAATATAATTGTCATTTATTAAATGAAAAATTCTATAACTTGTATGAGTTAATAAACTCATCTATTTTCTTTCTAATATTCGTATGTTATTAGAACATGCGGGATTTTGTAGTTAAAGTGAACTATTTTATCATTAATTTTTTTATCAAGCTAGTAATTATATATATGTTTTTTTTAAAGCGGAATCAAAGTACTCAAAAAAATAAATAAACGAATTTTTAGAAAATTCAAACAATTGTTGAAAGAAAATTAATTTCTTAAAAAAGTTGAGACTATTTCTTATAATGACACCCTAGAATCCTAAGTAAAATATCGTAGGTTATAAACCAAGGCAACTTGCCTCGAATGTCATTAATATTTGTCAATATGCTTAGATGTTTGTTTTAGTTTCTCTCATTACAGTTATTTCTATTGGGGAAGTTCAACAAAAAAATTAACCAACATTGCATTTATTAATGTTTCTTCGTTTCATTATTATTAATTTCAAGTTTTCAACTTACCACATTCTAATTCTACAGGCATGAGTCAAAAGGTATCGTACAAATAGTTGAAGAGATTTTCAATAAGCTGAATAATACATCTCCACTTGTTGCGCAAGATTTAGTTGGAACAGAATCTCGTGTGGAGAAAATGGAATCATTGTTGTGTGAAGGGTCGGATGAGGTTCGTTTTATAGGAATATGGGGAATGGGCGGAATAGGAAAGACAACCATTGTCAAAGCTGTTTATGACCGGAACTATCATCAGTTTGAAGGTAGCTGCTTTCTCGCAAATGTTAGAGATGTCTCAGAAAGACAAGGTCTGGAAGCTTTACAAAAACAACTCCTTTCTGAAATCCTCACGGGGAGTGATATAAATATACCTGACACTGTTAGAGGAGCAAATATAATAATGTCCAGACTACGTTTTAAAAGGGTTCTTGTCGTTCTTGATGATGTGGATAAACGGGAGCAACTAGATGCAGTAGCTGAAAAGCATGGTTGGTTTGGTACTGGGAGTAGAATCATCGTAACGACAAGAGATAAACATTTGCTGACTTCTCATGGAGTGAATGAATGTCACTCAGTTGAGGCATTAAATGAAGATGAAGCTACCCAGCTCCTTTCTTTGAAAGCCTTCAAACAAAGCTTTCCTTCTGAAGGTTATTTGGAGATCTCAAAACAGATAGTAGATTATGCTGGTGGACTTCCATTAGCTCTTACAATTTTGGGTTCTTTTCTACATGGTAGAACAACGGATGAATGGAAAAGCACATTGATTAAGCTGCACAAAATTCCCAACAAAGAAATTCTCCAAGTGCTTAAAATCAGTTTCGACGAACTGGATGAAATGGAGAAGGAAATTTTCCTTGATATTGCATGCTTCTTCAAAGGAAACCACGAATGTTATGTAACAAGAATACTTGACAGTTGTGGCTTCTGCCCCGGGATTGGAATACCTGTTCTTGTTGAAAAGTCTCTCCTAACTATTGCAAACAATCATTTTTGCATGCATGATTTGATACAAGAAATGGGTTGGTATATTGTTCGTCAAGAATCTCAAGAGTGTAGGAAACGTAGCAGGTTGTGGCTTCGAGAGGATGTTTGTTCTGTGTTGAAGGAAAATGCGGTAAGATAGCTTGTGAAAAAATCATCCTTTTAACTAACATACAATTTAATGAAAAAGCGACATTTTGTATTGTATCATTTACTTCTTTGTGGTCTCGGTTGTTAGGGGACAGGAAAAGTTGAAGGCATAGGCTTGGAACTGCCTGAACTAGAAGTTGTTGACCTTAATTATGAAGCCTTTGCAAAGATGAAGAAACTAAGGGTATTCAAAGTCCACAATGTGGTGTTCAGTAAAGGCCCTTCACATCTTCCAAATGAGTTGCGGTTGCTTGATTGGCATGCATACCCTTCAGCCTATCTGCCGGCAAGTTTTCAGGCAGAGAATCTTGTTGAACTTAGCATGTGTTATAGCAGCATTAAACAACTTTGGAAGAAAATAAAGGTACAATTAATATTATATATATATATATATATATATATATATATATTTAATTTTATTGATTATACTGTCGCGTTCATGAGAACTAGTTATTCTTATTTTTACCATTTGTTTCGACAGCCTATGCCCAAGTTGAAAGTTATCAACCTTAGTTACTCCCATAGGCTATCTAGGACCCCAGACTTCACAGTTATTCCAAATCTGGAGACACTGATTCTTGAAGATTGTACAAGTTTGGTAGAGGTTCACCCTTCCATTGGAGTTCTCAAAAGGCTTGTTTATCTAAGTTTGAAAGACTGCAAAAATCTGAGGAGATTTCCAAATGGTATTCACTTGGAATCTCTTGAGACTTTTATTCTATCAGGCTGCTTGAAATTAGAAAAGTGTCCAGAAATATTGGGGGATATGGTATGTCTATCAGAACTTAATTTGGATAGGACATCCATAAAAGAACTGCCCTCGTCAATTGAACATCTCACTAGCCTTACTTTGATGGATTTGAGTGAATGCAAATACCTTACGAGTCTTCCAAGAACCATTTGTAGGTTGAGTTGTCTAAAAACACTCTCTCTCTGTGGCTGCTCAAAACTTGAGGAATTGCCAGACGACTTGGGAAATATAAAATGTTTAGAGGAGCTTCATGCAAATAAAACTGCCATCAGACGACTACCGTCCTCCATTAATCTTTTGGAAGACCTCAAAGTCTTATCCCTCAGTGGATGCAAGCGAACAATATCTGTGTCATTTTTTTCATCTTGGTTTTTACCAAGGAAATGTGAAGATTCTCTGTGTTTGGTGCTTCCTTCATTAACAGGTTTGAATTCCTTAACAAAACTTGATCTTAGTGATTGCAGTCTGTCTCAAGGAGGGATCCCCAGTGACCTTGGCAGCTTATCCTCTTTGAAAGTGTTGAATTTAAGCAGAAACAATTTTGTTAGTTTACCTGCAACCATCTCCGGGCTTTCTCAACTTGAATTCCTCGACCTAGTAGGATGCAAGAGGCTAAAAGCATTACCAAAGCTTCCATCGTATATCAGTTGTTTATATGCAGACGATTGCCATTCATTAACAAGCGTCGGAGATCTGTCTACAACAAATAAATCACTGCGGAGGGTCACATTCACTAATTGCTTAAAGCTGTTAGAGAATAAATGGAGTGAAAATGTGATGGAGGTGTTGCTGAGATTCGTTCTAAATTCAGAATTCATTATTATTTTACCGGGAAGAGAGATTCCGGAGTGGTTCAGTCATCAGAAATTGGGTACTTCAACATATCTGCAACGGCCTCCAGATTGGGATATTGGGATTGTTTTGTGTGCTGTATGTGAGTATTGTATTTCAAACTTATATATTCAACTGTGTTGCCATTTCCTAGATCATGATAATAATCCATGTGCTCCTGGGCTGTCTTGGTCTTATTTATATATACATGGTACAAAAGTTGATTCCCAACATATGATCCTGAGCTATATTCCAACCCTATTCTCTTCGAGTGAGGTTCGGAATTCAAACAAATGGCGCCAAGTTGAGGTTTACTTCGAATTTGTTGATCCGAAAAATCGGTCATGGAGGTTGCCAGTTACGAAATGGGGAGTCCATCTAGTGAAGAAGGATGGGTGTGGGAATTTGGGATTCATTGACGGTTCAGATGAAGCAGCAAAAAGAAACACTCTCAAGAGAAAGCGTGATGACTATGACCGTGTTGAAGCAAAAGGGAATGGAAGTGCCGCCTCTGATGATGAAAGCCCACCCGCTAAGAGAGAGTCTGCATTTTGAGATCACGAAATCTCGTTGATCCACGCTGCTTACGTTAATGTTGTTTATGGTTGGTTGTTGCTACAACTATTTCAAATTTTTATTTGGAAAAGTTTTTTATATAATGTGATGTATAGTGATTTTTTTTTGTTTTTTTCTAAAAAATATATATAGAGCGTGGGATCAATTTTTCAGTCAATGATTCAGTGAAAGTTTCTCTGATTTGCATTGGTACATCATTTATGTTGTGTTTGGTACGAAAAAATGGAATGAAATTAATACAATTAGTTGAAATAGAATGAGAATAGAAATGAAATGGAATGTCTATTTTCATTCTATTGTTCGGTTGTAAAAATGAAACAAGTAGCAATAGAATGATAATAACCATTCTATTTTTTAGTTGGACCAATTTAAAATTTAAAATGTAGCGAATTTCAAATTGAATTATCCAAAATACCCTATTACTGACAAATAAATTAAATTAACAAAATAACATTATTTTATAATTTTTTAAAAGAAATTACGGTGGTGACGATGGTAGTGGAGGTAGAAAGTGGTATTGATGTTGGTGGTGGTGTTGGTAGGAGACAGTGGTGGAAAGCGGTGGTGATGGAGGTGGCCATAGTGGAAGACGGTGGCGATGGTAGAGGTCGGTGGTGGTGGTCGTAGCGGCGGCGGAGGTGTGGTGGAGGTGGAAGGAGACGATAGTGGTGGCAGTGGCAGTGGTAGAAGGCGGTAGTGATGTAAGTGGAAGGTGGTGGTGGTGGAATGCGGTGGTAGTGACGGCGGAGGTAATATTATGGTGACAGGTGGTGGAAGGCAATAAAGTTAGTCGGTGGTGGTGGTGGAATTTGGTGGTGGCGGCGGCAGTGTGGTGGTTGAAGGTGGCAACAATGGTGGCGATGGTAATGGTAGTGGCAGTGGTGGAAGGCAATGGAGGTGGCAGTGGTGCTTGTGGTGGAAGGTGGTGGAAAGCAGCTGTGGCAACGACAGCAGTAGTACTGGTATTAGAAGGCAGTGGTGATGGTGGAAGGCAGTGGTAGTGTTGGTGGATTTTATATTTGAAACATGAGGATTTTTTTGAGAATTTGATTTTTAAAAAAAAAATTACTTAGGAATGAAAAGATCATTTCATAGGTTTAGTTGTGTAATAGATTTTCATTCATGTGAAATGTTCATTCTCACTTTAAATTGCATACCAAATAAATAAATAGTTGAAATAAGCATTCCATTTCATTCTATTCCTACACACTAAACACAACATTGGTGTATTAATATATTTTTTAGCATAATTAGGAAGTAATTTCCTGATACACCAAATGCTGGAAAAGGCACGAATGTTCCTTGTTCTCTTCATAATCTTTGCTGTTGGTATTTCTCTTGTGCTATTTTGGTTCTATTTATCTCCTGCACATTTAAATCGATAAATTAACAATTTTACATAGTTAACAGAACAATTTTAATTCAACAATTTAACAACCACGTAAAGATATTAAAATTTTGATTTCATGATGTTGTAGCGTCATAACATGACTTAATATACTATAGAGGTATTGCATCTTCTGAAGGGCTAGTAGCTTAGTGAAGTCATGCCTTACATATTCACTTACTAGTATGGCTCTTTCGATACACGAGTATAAAGTCATCCTCTACCAACCTTATATATATATATTCAAAATTTTAGGTGTAAAACAGAAATTTTGAGTGTTAGGGACCATTTAAAAGATTGATCTCAGTGTGTATATAATAGCATATTAATATAGTACATCCTCATTCTTGCCTTGGTCCATACAAACGGGGTAGGCATTAATTTAGAGTAGATGGACGCTCGATATGGATGATTGTAAGTTGTAACTCACATGAAGAAAGAATATATTAGTATCTTATGGCAAGAAATTGGAAAGTTATATAGATGTTTTTGGGACAAGGAGTTTAAAATGAAAGAAATTTCACATTTTCAAGTCAAATTGAAGAAATAATGGTTCAATTAGCCCAGTTGAAGGGTCAATCTAAGATATAAAATCTTAAATTTCAAGTCCAACTCATTCCGAGCTTTCCAACATTACTCAACTCGTACTCGGATTTTTAAAAATGATTTTGTGCTCAAGTTTGAAATGTTAGGTTGAAAATCTGATTATCTCAAATTAGTCTCGAGTTGGATTACCACGTTATAAAAGGGCTAGGATCTTCTAAGTTAAAATCACTTTAAATTATTTTAAGTTGAATTCACATAAAAATGACTCTAAATTATTTTAAGTTGAATTCACATAAAAATGACACGTGCACTTTCTAATAGATCAAAGGTTTAAAAGGTGCCACATTACTTCCTTAAAGGAAAAATTATAAAACCAATGTCGTTCCAAAAAGAATTTTAGAAGACGTCGTTAGAGACCTCTTGCAGCCGTTTCCTGCTACAGCTCCGCCTCTGTTTCTCTCTCTATCAGTCTGGCTCCTCCATGCAGCCATGCCACTTGTCTCTCTCTCTCTCCATTTTCAAGTCCTACACTTCTTATACTTGAATTCTCAATTTATCCAAATAGAGGGAGTGAGGTGGAAAATTGCCGCCATTGCAGGTGGCAGTGGAACTTGTAAGGGTCCACTTCTTTTTAAATGATATTAATGGGATTACAAATTCTATTAAAAAAAGAAGTAGACCCATTTATTTGATAATGCCAATTTGATAACAAATTCTATCAATGGTAGCAGTCTACGAATTAAGAATTATAGAGAGAAAAATATATTTTAAAAATATATAAACGGTAGTAAAATCGATCGAATGGGTGAGTTTGGATTGATTTGAAGAGAAATATAGGGAGAGGGGAAGAAGAAATATATCTGGTAGATGATCCAAAGACTTCTACGGCTGTGATGGCCATGTGGCATTGAGAAAGAAAATCAGACCGCACTTGATGGTGTTGCAGGGGTGTGGTACCGGTGGTAGATCTTAGTGCATGCCTATTCATTCTGATTTCAAGAGTGAAAAGCCTTCCCACTCACTCTTTTTTCACATACGGATGCACTGGTTATTGCGGGAGAGTTTTAACACTATCAAACTGCGTTGATGACAATGTTAATTATTAATGATATTATTTTTAAATATTTTGTAATTTTGTATTATTATGATGATGTGGCAAAACATACATCATAGAGTACAATTAAAATTTGTCATTGTATGATGAATTCAAGGATAACTTAGAAAATTCTAGTAAAATATGAATATATATAAATATTTATATCATATAAACAAGTATTCAAGAGTTAATTATCCACATGTTTAAATACAAAAAATCAAATATTAAAAAAATTGAGAAAAATAAATTACTACTATTAATATATATAAATTCATATTAGGTTTAGGTTATTCAATTCTTAATTTGAACCTAATCCAAATTCAGCTCGGATTGATATTCTTTAATTCACGTTCAATCTTACTTATAAAGGTTAAGTGCAAAAAATCCTACGATATATAGGATTTGTGCAGAACTAATTCCTATTTTTTTTTTAAAATGTGTATGTTAATCCATAAAATTAAAAAAAAAAAAAAAAAGTGCAAATAAGCCCCTCTTACCACTTTTTGACAAAAACTAAATAAGAAAATCCTATTTTATCCTTTTGATTCCCATTTTGCCCCTCACCCATGTCTACATATAATCCATACTCATTTCTTTGCCCCCCTCCCTCTATATATATATGTGTGTGTGAAATAGAAATAGAAATTTACGGCGTATAATATACCATAATCTACAAGCAAAATAGACCATTATTTGGTTTAATGATAAAAAAAGTTCGGGCTTATTTAGCCAAAATAAATAAATGTTCACACTGACAAACAGAGAATTCAATTTGAAATAAAATAAAATAAAAAGGTAAATGGACCATAAAGCTAAGATGAACCAAAATATTTCATATAAAATTTATAATATTACGAAACTTAAACATGACTTACAATTTCTAATTTCTAGGAAATCATTTTCTTGACAGACAATCGTTAACTTAAGAAATATCTCTCAATTCTTGCCCCCATGCGCTCCCTATTCCCTCAGAGTCGGAGATCTTTTGACAAGCACTGATGAGGACATTAGCCATGCAGGGGCGAGACGAGAAGAGGACTGACGCCTCAGAGGCTCAGACATGAACTTCCCACTCAATTCATTGTTATCACACGTCAATTGCTGAATAACATAAGCGATGACTCTGGTTAAGATCAAATATCGAGCCAGCATAACCTGTGGTTAAGATCACAAAGATCACTTGAGCTCTCCTAAGCAGAATAAATGCTTATGTAAGTGGGAATCAGATACTAACCAGAACATCTATCAACAACGCCCATTTTCTTTGAAGTAGAGTCACTGAAGGATTCTGAAGCTTGTAATTCAGTACAGACCATCAGCAAGGGTGGATTTAGGAATTGTCAATGGGGGCTAGTATTGAATATAAATTTAATTACACAATTTCATAAGCAAATTTTTTTTGAATGGGTTAAAAAGGGGGCTAATACTACTATTAAAAAAAAAAATTTTAAAATTAAGCTGAAAATACAATACTAAATTTTTTTTTTGGGGGGGGGGGGGGGGGTGGAAGCCAAGCCTGTGACCATCAGTGCTAGAGAATCAATACACCCATGCTGTGCTTTGGAAACTGAAAAGAGAGATCTTGCAGGAAATTATTATAGAAAGGAAGGAACACCAAGTCACCATTATTATTTTTTTCTTTTTCTTTTTTTAATAATAATAATTTACACAAATTGAAAAAAAATGATCATTTTACATTACCTGTATTTATAATAATTAATTTATTCAACTAAAGTGAGGGTATTATCGTCATTTTATACTACACATGACCTATTTATACCAAATTGATAATATATGGAGTTTTATATCACTCCAAATCTGAAAACACTGAATCTTGAGGATTGTATGAGTTTGGTAGAGGTTCACCCATCCATTAGAGTTCTCAATAGGCTTGTTTTTCTAAGTTTCAAAGACAGTAAAGTTTGGTATTTTTTTGGGATTTTTTCTTTT